CTGACAAAAAAAATTCAGCTTCCTTTCCCCACAAGTGGAATATTTTGATGGCGAGAAAGAGAATATGAAGGAATATAAGTGACACACTCGAGTCCGAAAATTCCACCTAGTCTTAGCCTGATTGTCTTAAAATTTAAGATGGCTCCGAATTGTGAAACTTTCTTCGATGCAATTCTGAATCGTGGAAGCCGGTTATCCGCAGTTCTTTAAAAATAGAAATAGACTTCCAAATAAAAACGCATTTCTTTTTTTCTTTAAATAGTCCAAAATTCTGTGTCACCTTAAATTTTAAGGCAGAACGGATTTGTAGGTTAAGAGTAGGTGGGATTTTGGACCAATGTTAATAAATGGACATATTGAAAGATAGAAATTATTTCGCAGCGTTTTGAATCCTTCTGACGCTCTCTCCTTAGTTTCTTGAACCGTTTGCAGTATTATTATTATTTGTACTCGCTCACAATCACTTTATTTCATTATTAAAATAGGAATTTACCCCACTAATTGTTTTCGAACGGCTGTGTGTCATATTCAAATACTTTCTTTGGTTCTAAATTCAAAGAACTCCGCTGCATAGTCTTGTTGTTGATTCAAATGGATGGTTTTACCGTCACTTAACTGCGAAGTGTCTAATTAAATCCCTTGTCTTCAAACCACATGTTAGGAAGTTATTTTGTGATTCAAAACTAGTTCCCCCAAAGAAGGCCTGGATTAAACACACCTAAAAACATCTGAACAAATTTCCGCCCTGAGATGCCGCACGCAGTACTCTTACACACTTTACACTCTCACTGTCGAAAGTCAGACATTAAATTCAACCTCAACTTTAGATGAAGTGAAATTATTCAATGTTCTTTTCTGATGTTTAGCAGATTCGAATCTAAGTTAGGAACCCTTAATTTGAGGCAAAATTCCTTAATTTGCTTTTTACGGCAATGTTTATCTGATTGCGTGTCCTTTTCAAAATTTAAGTTGAACCAAATTTTAATTTCAAAATCCATATTATTTCCATATTATCCACAGTTATTTCAATACCTGTGAATGCAACGCGCCATTCTCCGTCTAGTCATAATGCAGTTTGCATAACTATTCATGAAGCAGATTTTAATGATAGGATTCCAATTTACATCGGTTATCCTCGGTTCAAACCACTCTGAAATGTCGATTTTCTTTTATTTATCATTTTCCACCCATTCTCACGAAGCCTGGTAGAAACTATCAAATCATCTTGCAAGACAGACAGTCTGAGTGTATGTCTCTGAGAAGCAGGAGGTAAGTTAAAGAACAAGTGGCCATATTTCTTTTTAGTGCTTGTCTGTCTGTCTGTCTGTCTGTCTGTCTATCTCTCTCTCTCTCTGTGTGTGTGTCTGCCTCATCCAAACTGAAGTAGGTTGCAAAAAACGCGCAAATATTTTTTTAATTAAAAAAATCTGTCGAAGAAATAATTGACCTACCTAAAAGCACCCGTCTACTCAGATTTGGTCAGCAACCCCGAAAGAGAGAGGTGGTGTCTTTTAATGTGTCTCTGGGCCCATAGAGAGCAAGCCCTCTATTTAAACGGCTAGGGCGTGAAGGTTACTGGGTCCCGTCTAGACACTAATTACTGAGTTCAACCGCTTTTTAACTTGACCTTGGACTTCGGCTGCATCTGAGATTCACCTCCTCATAACAAACCGGATCTTTTTTAATGCCAATTCCCTGCCCATCCTCCGCAAGGATGCGCCCGGGATCTCCGCAGAACCCTCTGCCCTCTTTCCTTATCTATGAAACTTAAAACTCCACTTGCGTGAACTTCTGCGGAAAGTAGAGTTTGACTCGGAAAGAGAAACAAAGCAGAGCAGATAAACGTGTCCGGCGTGTTTGTCTGACCGCGAGACAGACAAACACTTCTTTTCTTCTGTGTCCATATTTTACTCAGATTCATTAGTTTAATAAGTGTCTCGATGCAGTTTTCCGAGCAAACAAGCGACAGAGAAAATGGGGAGAGAAAGAGAGGGAAGGTTAAGGACACTGAAATATATATAAATACGAGGTAACATACTTCACGCACGGAAACGCGGGCATGTTCACTACGCAGATTGCTTTTGTCGCAGAAGGTATTGAGCATATAAATCGGATTGTCTCTCTATTTAATTGAAGAACGCGCGAAATAGCATCTACCTCTGCATTTGGATGCACACCGTTTATAAGGCTTGGGCCTAACTCAAATCTGAATTACACCACCTCTTCCCGTCCTCACACTGCCTTTGGCTTCCCACACAGTCGCGTTTGTTAATGTGATGTTCAGGCCGTCCATGTACTAACTCTGTCTGATTTGCATTGATGCAGATCCGCAACCGATTTAAGGAAAGCTGCAATGATTTCGATTTTTTTTTTAAAAAGTTACGTAATCGATGCAACTTATATGAGCCCTTTGCTGAACACGTTTTGGAAAATAATATTTCGACAATAGCAAGTTTTGGCCATACAAAAACGAATGTTGTAATGACACATATTTATGTTTAAATGGACCTTTTATAATAATAATAATAATAAGAAGAAGCATTTTAGCCGCGTTGCTGTTGTACTTCAGTGACCATATCTCTGTTAGTATGTGACAATCTACAATGTAGCGCCTTGTTTCTAAATGCAAAATATTTCAATTCGAATCTCTCATTTATCGTCCCTCCCATCAATATATATTATATATTTTAAATTATTGTAATTATCCCACCGTCTGGTGAAGGATTTTGAGAAAGGTTTTGGATTCTCGTGTGGAAAAATATCTGCAATTTCTGTTCTTTGTGGTTTAGTTGGTGATTCAAATAACAACCTTTCACTCCTCGAAGACGATATCCATTTGTTCCCTTCAAAACACGATTATTTTTTCCCAGAGAAGCTACAAAATAGTGTTCTGCGGGGGCAGAAATAGTTGTATGTTTGATAGAAAGAGCTTTCTAACCAGTAATTGACAAAGGAATATATGAGATTCAAAACGACACAATACACTATCAATCAGCAGAATAATTGGCACAACAAGTTTCCACAGTGGTGTAATGGGTTCGAGTGCCTCTGTTAGATACATAGGTGACATTTTTTCGCGCTTTTGTGAATTCCAAATCTAATAATGTAAATAAATGCGACAAACCTAAGAGTACGAGTGCTCGTAGGCTCCCCTCTGCCGGCTTCTTTTATTATGATTATTATTTAACTTTATTTGCGGAATTATTCGCTTTTCGTGATTATTAGCTATTTTTTGACTCTGTCTGAAATATTTTTAAAGGTTTTTGTGTTTATCTTTAGGTCTATATATGTAGATAAACATACATGTATACACGTATACGTAAAGATAAACACCCATATATATGAATGTAATATATATTTTACGGCATATTTAATATTTATATTTAAAATGCAGAACAATTCGGCTTTGGGATTTTCGCTTCCGCTTTTCGCTTTCGCTCAGAAGCCTAGCAAAAACATGTGCTTCCCCTGTTTTTTTTTATTCTTGTTCTTGTTTAATTCAAAGGGAATACGAGAGGAATTGTATGCATTTAAATCATTTGTGATGTGGGTCCGACACTTTTCTATCTGATCTGGAGGCAATTTATTGTTCTATCCATCTTATCTGCTGACTCACAACGGGAAGAAGCGCATTCCCTTAATTCTAAGCAAATAGAACTCTCTCCCCCCCACCCCCCCGTTCCCCACCCCCACCCCCCCACGAGGAAAATAACCAAACAACTGCACTATCCCATCACTGGATACTGCGGGAAAATGGATGTCTTGGTAATGTAGTAATAATAATCCTTGCATTGGATACGTCTTCGAAAAGTCTCAAATCGCTTCAAAGAATGTACTGTCAAGTGAATTGATAGTGCATTTTTGTGGGCGAAAGGTGTGTCTTTAATGCACCATTGCAAGGGTTCAAGGAGGAAAATAATATAGCATGTGTATAGTATGTACAAAACATTCGTTCTGTCATGTTAAATTGAACTCTTTCAAAATAGGTCACTGCATAAAGTTTAGATGTACAAATATATAATGGGAAGTGAAATTGATTGCAGCACTTGCAAATCATATCACTCGGTTAGACTTGGGTGCACGTAGATGATTATTTTTATTTGTAACTTGTTGTACAAAATATTCGCCAATCCCTTAAAGGATGACTGAGAGAAGAATTGCATATATGGGGTCTCTCTTTTCGATAAGAGGAACACAAAATACAAGTGTCCTTTCAATTGAACAATGAAAATGACAGCAATCCAAGGGAAATAACAAAGAATTGAACTGGTGTACAATTTAAAATATCCATTGATTGAAATAACACGTGTTAGCTGCTTGCTATTGACGTATGGGGATATGAAACGACCCCATCACCCCCACCCCCCTTTCTGTGCACTCTCTTCCCTCCTAATAAACCGATAAATTGTCAACATATCCACCAAGTACATGCTACGCCTTGTATTGATCCGTGTGACCCAATAATATTCCATTAACATTCAATTAACAATTGGAGACCTGTCCCTTTTCAAACCTCTTACTAGTGTTTCATTTATACCCTTTTTGTTTTACAAAATAAAAAAAACTTTGCCTCCATGAAATTAGAAAAAAATTTTTTTTTACAGAATAGCACGTGTAACCGTGGTATATGAGTGAATGAAATATGAAATACAACAAAAAAAATAAAAGCCATTATTTATAGGGATCCTGAAATGGCTGGAAGTGGTGTTTTTAGCCTCTGGTTTACCGTTCGCAATAGATGAACGCTCTCATTTGGGAGATCAAAGTGATGGCGACAGCGGCAACACTCGCTCTTTGAGAAATTAATCGGGGAAATTTGAGAATGGCTGTGTTTTTTCTCCCCGCAAAAGTCTCGCATATGCAGTCCAGATTTATTGCTGTCCAATTTACAAGTCTACTTTGCATATCACGTGCCGCAAAGGCTGTATCTTAATCAAATTGCCACTTGGAGTGCGCACGCAAGGAGTGGACGTGAAAAAAAAAATGTGTGTGTCTGGAAATTAGGTGCTCGGCTTTGGAGAAGTCGACTTTTTAAAAGCATCGGCAGTGCCTGATATGACGACTTCGCTTCTCTTGCACCCACGCTGGGCGGATACCTTGATGTACGTGTACGAGAAAAGCCCGAATGAGAATAACAAACTCCCAGGGATGGAGGCACTGAGTGGCAATTGCTCTTCCAGCCACTGCAGAGATTTGATTCCACATCCAGCTCTGGGTCGCCATTCTGGCACTTTAGCCCATCACCACCATCATCATCACCACCAGGGTCCTGTCTACTCGGAACTGCCGGCTCCCGAGGCTGGGAGGCAGTGCCCCGCTCCCCAGACCTCCTCCAGCGCCGCCCTGGGTTACAGCTACCCCTTCGGAAGCGCCTATTACGGTTGCAGGTTGCCTCACCCGCACAACGTGAATCTACCGCAGAACGCTCTGAAACCGTGTGCCTATCATCCCAGCGAGAAATATTCCGAGGCAGCCCCGGGGCTGGCCAGCACGGCACTGCCCAGCGAGGAACTCTCATCCAGGGCCAAAGAGTTCGCTTTTTACCCGAGCTTTGCTAGCTCGTACCAACCCGTCCCTAGCTATTTAGATGTGTCTGTGGTTCCGGGAATCGGTGCCCACGGGGAACCGAGACACGATGCGCTGATACCCATGGAAGGATATCAGCATTGGGCTCTGTCGAATAGTTGGGATGGACAGGTTTATTGTTCCAAGGAACAGACACAATCTTCTCACCTCTGGAAATCTCCATTCCCAGGTACACAGACCATAAGTCATATTATTTATGAATGCGGTTTGCATATTAGCGATAATAATAATAATATTCCTTGCATTTGACACAGACCCTTATCACGTCTTCGAGACGTCTCAATGCGCTTCACAGAATATACTGTAAAGTCATTTGACTGTATATTTTGTGGGCAAAATATTGAGCTGTTTAGTTTTTAGATCAGACCACAATAATAAAGGTACACCTGGATAACATTTTAGGTTGCAAACTGTACCTGGGTGCGTTGTGGTCAATGTGAGTTGGCGGTAAATGTTAAGTATTATTAAGAATAATAATCTTTGCATTTGTTATAGCGCCTTATCACGTCTTTGAGACGTTTCAAAGCGCCTCACGGAATATACTGTAAAGTGTGTTGACTGTGTATGTTAAGTGAATTGCTGGCGAAACAGTTTTAATGTGTGTTTGACTACAAATGACCAGAGGGGCTTCACCTGTGCGCGCGATAACGCGAGACAGGATGAATGTTCAGGTAAAAAGCTTTATGCAGGGATTTGGGTTGTGTTGATGTACACTTGCCTGGACCCTTTGGTGTGCGCGGTTCACATCGCTCCGCATTAGGGCGGATAGATGCACTTTGTTTTTTTTTGTATTAGTGGAAAAAAGCAATGCGAATTAATTATTGGTAATATTTTTGCCAATCAAAATAAGATTGTAGCCCAGAGCACACTCCCCCTGCCCCACTCCCCCTAACCAATCAGAATTCGCCAACCCTCTCGGGGAATCAACAGCGAGGGAAAACTTCCATTGCAAAGTTCCAACGTGAAGTTACAGAAAGCAAATTGCACAGTTACTACACGCGCGAGAAGCTGATAGAGGCACCTTAGCCTCTGTGGGGTGATTTTGAGATAACGAGATGACTTCCATTAACAAAAAAGGAAAGAGTGGCGTGACTTGGCAAACATGAATGTATCATTTATTTATACAAAATACACAGTCAATCCATTTTACAGTAGATTCTGCGAAGCGCTTTGAGACGTCTCGGAGACGTGATAAGGCGTTATATCCAATGCAAGGACTGTTATTATTATTTTTATTATGTGTCGTTTTGGCATTTACCAAAACGTGTGACAATATGATTTCAGTGAGAAGGGTTTAACTTGTTCAGGCGGTGAGCTCGCGTACCTCTCTCCTCTTTTGGTCTCAGGGTTAGTCGGTGTGGGTAGCATGATATGTATGATACAGTATGACAACGCTGAGTATCTCACATGTCTAATCGGGGACACGGCAGCGCCTGTCAATAACCAGCATTCTCCAAGGTTATTTTTAAAAAGAAAACACCACACCAAAAATTGCTGAGCATGCGCAAACACCAAAAAAATACGCACGGGATGGGGTCAAGCGTCCCTGCAACCTTTTTAGATACTGTACAGAAGAATCTGGGTAACTGCATAATAATAATAATATTTGGATTTCATTTGGCGCCTCATCACGTAGCTGAGACGTCTCGACGCGCTTCGCAGAATATACTGTAATGTGAATTGACTGCATATATTTTGTGAGCGAAGTGCATATATAGGGGCGTAATTGAAATAAAAAGTCGAATGCCGCATTTGAAACACCAACCGCCTTCATATAGGGACAGCGGTATGTATGAATGTATCTCTGTTCATGTGAGAGTGAATGCCATATATGTGCGTGTGCATCTTTGCAGACTCAAAGGCTCAGGGTAAATAATAATAATGATCCTTGCATTTGATATAGCGACGTTATCGCGTCGTTGAGACGTCTCGAAGCGCTTCACTGAATATACTGTAGAGTGGATTGACTGTGTTTCATTATTATTATCATTATTATTATTATTATGTGTACTATATGTGAACCACTACTGAATTACATTGTGTGGGAATCTATCACTGACTTGCAGTCCAATATATACCTAATTTGGAATCCATGTTTATCTGGAACTGCGAGTATATAAAGTTGAGTGCAATTGATAACGGGATGGTGATATTGCGGCTTTTAATGAAGAGCGCACGTACTGAGCGCGCCATCAAATGCATCTGTTTCTCCATCAAACATATCTGTCCGTCTTCCAATCCGCTGAGTGTCTCTCTTCGTTCCTCAGACGTGGTACCGCTCCAACCTGAAGGCAGCAACTATCGGAGAGGAAGGAAGAAGCGGGTCCCTTACACCAAACTCCAACTCAAAGATCTGGAACGCGAGTACGCGGCCAGCAAGTTCATCACTAAAGAGAAGAGGCGGAGAATCGCCGCCAATACCAACCTCTCGGAGAGGCAAGTTACCATCTGGTTTCAGAATCGCAGGGTGAAAGAAAAGAAAATACAAGGGAAGCCGAAATCAGGTCACATTCACGTCACCTGAACCGCATTCGAATTCATTAAACTTCTTGCAATATCAATACCGCAGTTACCCACTGAAATAAATGAGATGGGGGTTTAAGATATTGACTTGGGGGTGGTGGGGGTTGTCGGGAGGAGGAGAAGCAAGAAAATAAACTATTTCCAAATAAATACATGGACATTATTATTATAATCCAGAAACATAAGCGGTGGACAATATTTCTTGTTTGTAAAATAATATAGGTCTTGAAGCCAACCGAGGCGTCCTTTACTATAAGCCGAATTTAATTTGTCTTTGTACATTGATTGTATCGTGTTGTCCGAGTTATTGTAGGCTGCTTGTTTTTCAGTGTTTTTAAGATAATAATTATAATAATAAATTTAATTTTTTTGGCATACACACGCCCACGTATTTACCCAAATGTGGTTTGTTTCAATGGCAAGAAAATACTTGGTGTTGGGTCCAGATCCATACTGTAAGTTTCACCAGAGTCTTTGGAAGGCGCCATTGTGGTTTGTGTTTGATACGCCAGTCCAGATATACACACATTCACACACATTGTGAACAAATTTTCTATTAAACGCAACAGTAGATTGTTAATATGTCCGTATGTTCCCGGCGACATTAATTACTTCAAAGTAGAAATGTTTACTACACCAACCAGTTAATAATTCATCCGGACAAACGAGGAATTCGAGTTGTGGGAAAGTAAACCCCCAATTAATTGGACCATGTTCAACATTTCATCATTAACTGTGAAAAACAGCGAGCTGGAGAGGAAAATATCAGAGCGAAAGAGTCAGTGAGTGATTGATAAGTATGTTGTGTAGAGGTGGTCGCTTACAGAAACTTGCAGGGATTTCATAAAAGGAAAATAAGCACAACGAGTGCAGTTCAAAAGAGAGAGGCGCTGCTTATCATTGCATCAAGGTTGATTGATAAATGGGTCCAGCTCTGCTTGATTGAAATTTTATTATGATTTTTAACTTTCTTAAAATTGCTCAAAACTCCACAAAAGCTCGATTTTAATGCACTTAAAAAAAATCATGCTTAAATAAAAAAGTAAACACCCCCCCAACCCACCCATATGAAAAAAATCCCTGTCATGTGCGGGTGTCACGCGAATGTCTGGTTTCCCAATTTGGAAACAGAACCAAAACATTATGGCATCGTTGAATTGTTTCTGCTTACAAAGCCCCTTCTGAACGATCGCGAATTTATTCATAAAGATGAATGCTTCTGACTTAAATATATAGTATCACGCGTCAAACCAGGCACACGGTGAGATCGATTTATATATATCGCGTTATTTTCCTTTGGCATAGAATTTAATAATTCATATTGGAAGGACAGACAGACAGACAGATAGACACGCCACGTAAATAGTGACAAACCTGCTTACAGAAAAGAAACGCGCAAAATGCATACCCGACCAACATACATCCAGACAGAGAGATACACAGTCAGACAGGCTAATTATACCCACAAACATAGACAGAATACACAGACGGAAACAAATACACATGCAGATATCACCAGCATTCCAACCTGGTCATTTGATGAACTTGAGAGAGAGAAAAATAATTAAACTGAAAATTTGAAAGGATGGAAATCGGTTTATTGCGGCAAAGAAGAATAAAAGAAAAATGTAAAAATCGCCTTTGAGTTTCACTTATTCTTGAGGACCGACAGAAATAAAATCACACTTATTTTTTTTCAGTTTTTGTGGGTTACAAAACCTTATTCTAAAAGTATTCCTGTGGTGAGATTTTTTTTTGAAAAAAAAGTGTTGCAATTAATTCATTTCCTTTTCAATGAAGATACAATTTCAGCTTTCACTCTCCAGACTTGTGTTGAATTACTTTTACCACCTTTCAGTTTGCTTTTACACTTTCTGCCATCCAGTTCACCCAAATAGCTCGAGAGAGAGCAGCAAACACAGCCGCCATCCCTCGCCATTTAACATCGATTCAGTTTCATTAAGATGGCTTCAGATTTACCACAAATAATCTTTGTGTTTGATACAGCACCTTATCATGTTTTCGAGACGTCTCAAAGAGCTTCGCAGAATACACTGTAAAGTGAATTGACTTGCCATTTACATTTTTTTTTAAAAAATGGAACAACGCCTCATAAGATAGATCTGGTCTCAATTTACTTCACCCGCTTCGTTCACGTGTTTTATTCACTCAATGTCGTGATATGGCGTTTTATATATTTTTTAAAACTACCGCATTTTCAATTTTCTAAATATTTTCCAAGCCTAAGCCTACACATACATTACAATGGATGGTCGCTTTTTATATGACATTGAATAAATGGGTTAATCTATCGCAAAGATATTTTGTTTTGGGGGAAAAAACACACTGTGAATTTTATAAAATTATTATACCAGTATTTTATTACGTAAAAACAAATCTGAGGAATAGAGAGGATACCGATTAGAATGCCTGTAGCGTTCTGTCGCCACTGACTATATATTACAGATGTCTCCAACTGTGAGAATCCTTAATCATTTCAAATTATTACACATTTATTTTGCCGAAGACATACCGTTCAGATCATTTCGGATCGAGAATTTTCAGCAAAATGAACAAACGATGCAGGAAGTTACAGACGAGAATGACATTTCTTTTTTTTTTGGAAAACAATTGAAAATTTAAACGACCAAAAGCCACAATTGGAAACACAGAGAGAGGGGAATAGAGAGGAATGTTATCATCTTGCACATTCGAGGTAGAAATGTGCAAATACCTACTGAGCCGATGACTGCAAATGAAAACGCGGATTATCCAGAGACCAGTTTATTCCTGTAAATAACGGGCAGGATTGGCGCACAATTAGTTCTTGCTTGCCTCGTTAAACTTGTACAATGCTGGTTCAATTTTTCTCCAGATATTCACCGAAGGTGAATGTAAATTGTATTACATTAAAAAAACTCTATTTTTTGACAAAAAATACGGAAAAGCAAGATTCCTAATGAGTAATTCGGAAGTGGCGCCACTTTTAATTTAGTCTCGCCTTCTCTTATTCAGAACAATTGCTAAATGCTGTTCAATTTGATTGAATAGAGAGAATCTTTCAGATAAGTAAATAATAGTACTTTGCTGTTGCCGATCCACCAAAGCGGAGCCAGCAATTAATTTCCACCGCACCAACCATTTGTATTTTTTTTTAAAAAAATAAACACACACACGTTTAAAGTTAAATCAAAGCAAAAGAACATTTCGAGCGTTTGCCTGTTACTCCAATCGTTTATTCCCGCGTCAATCCAGTTCAGTGTCGGCGCCAATTACAACGGCCCGTCTGTCGGTCGGTTCTCTTTTTACCCTTGACCGTGACTATCCGGTAGTCTTTGACCTTGACATCACGCCGCTCACACATTGCCGTCAGTGCTGGCGAGGCTGTCCTGCCCACAGGCCTGTCTGTGCATGGACCACTCATTTCCTGCGCCACTGCTAATGCCTGCCGCTGTCCACAGACCCATAGCACCTGCCCCAACCCCACAACTCCAATGGACACAACAAACACAGCACACAACTCACATCAAATGTCCCGCAACGCTTTCAATACCATCTTTCAAAGGGCACATTTCCCACCCCGGTGACCACCACCTCCCCCCCCCCACACCTCTTCCTCCCACCCACCCCCCCAAAAAACCACTTCAATTTCTTGATTCACCAACGAAGAACCGTGTTATATGGAACTGAGAAGAGTTCTGAATCGTGTCCTTGTTATTCCATCTTCTCTGCAGTCTGTCCCACGAAGTGTCTGTTCCATTCGGAATCTGTGGCTGTATCTAGTTTTTTTTTGCAACCGGAAGGTCAAATCTGACAATTATTGGACCTCGAATTTCAAATAAATTTAATCCAGACTCAATCTCTGTCGGTTTAAAGGGCTTTAAAAGACGCAAATATGTGTTTCTCCATTACGCTGTTTCCTTTTTTTCTGGTGCCACAGACCAGTTGCTAGCTCATATTCCGGTCAAATGGCGTGGTGCAGGCAAGGTAATAACTTCAACTCTGTAAAAAGAATATATATATATTCAAAGAGAAGAGTTAGGGCCATATTAAAGAAAGGTAGGGCGTTGTGCGTCAGATTTTTGTATCTGACGCGCAGCGACAAGCTTTTTTATGTTTCTGTATCGCATAACATTGTATATTTTTATATATATATATATATATAGCAATTTCCTGGCGACGATAGTTGATTGGAAGATATTCTCGCAATGTTTGTTTTTAAAAATCAGACTTGTATTTTAAGAAGAGCAACAGTAACTCTGTTTTTTTCTAGGTTGAAGATTTCTGAAGCGGTTATTTTGTTCACAAGTTGAATGAGTGAACACGTATCTTTGAGGAATATCGAGCAATGATGTTATAAATCGACCATTCGATCTTGCTTGGTTACTCTTATCCTTGCAATACTTTTTTTTAATTATTATTAATTAAACATTTGACTTTCATATACTTTTCTAATTGTAGCTCTGTTGGAATTCAATCCGTTTCTTTCTTCTATGTCTACTGAAAGCGACCAGAGGAACTTTCTCATTCATTAAAGGACGGTTTCGACTTCATTACAATTGGATTGCTACAGAAGGCCTCGGTAAGAGAAAATCACATACATTTTGACACACCGAAAGCTTCTCAATTCGTTTTAAAATGTTGGAGATATGAAATACAACGTGAAAACCGAATAGTGGATTTTTTTTGTAATGTGATATAATTAACACAAAAGTACTTCAGAATGATATGAGAAGTTGTGCTTTTCATATTCCTCACAACTACAGAAACTTGATTCGGACTTCATTTAATCAGTTTTCAATATATATATATATATATATAGAGAGAGAGAGAGAGAGAGAATCTTTAAACTACAGTACAGTGACTGGGATTGACTGACGGTGCATCACGAGATATGTTTTGTATACGTTAGTATTGTATGTTTTGTATATGTTATTTAAAAAAAAGTGTGCATACTTGCTAGAGAGCTGTTTTCTTCAGGCTCCTTGTAATTTTTTCATAGAAAGTAATTTCCATTCGCTTTACTTATTATACCGGAAATTGGAACGCTATCTTCCGGTGGTTCTTAAATACGTTTGTATTGTGTATATATTTTTGGATGAAATGCTATAATCTGGACGTCTACAACGTGACATTTCTG